GAGACCATTTATACATTTGAAAAGCCACTGATCATACTCAAATGTCTATGAATATACGTTTATGTTGCTTCGCCTGAGTAGTCAGTGGAAGTGTTTAAGGCATCTATTGGCAGGTAGCACTGGTAAGGCTTTTTCTAGATAATAAAGTGTTGATGACAACAGATTTTAAGAGTGAGGACGTTTATAATCTTGTTCTGCGTCATGAATTAATAAAGACAACTCAGGTAACCTTAAAATATATTAATTAGGTGTAAATAATCATGATTTCTACTTTCAAATATATTGGCTTGTTCGTGGCCCCTAAAAGCTAGCTGAATAAAATTCTATGAGAACTTAAGCCTGGATCCCCTTTTTGGTACACCTTACAGGAAAAGGCAGGCATTTTGTACCGTGATAAGCTGTGGCTTCGATGTTGTTTACTGGCTCATTCATGAGAGTACAAGTCGTATCGGCTTTGAGGATAAATGAATTTCATTTATTAACAGTGACTATGATTTAGATACAAGATCCATTTTAGTCTGCAATGATTCCTAATGATCTGACGGTTTAAGATGGTTAAGTCTCACAAATTTAATACTGACAACAAAAGCGGGTATTTGAATGCTTTTGATAGATGCATAGATTTTTTAGGTAACTAGTGGAGTTTATAGTGAATGGCTACGATCATTTGGTTAAATCGTGAAAATAATGCCGTGGAAACCACTTGAAGTAGTTGGTGTTTACACCACATCACACATATAAGACTATAAACCCCACTAATTGGACATTCGGTGTTATTTTCACCTGTCTCTAGACATTCAGTTAACGAAATACGAGTGAGCATTTTAACTGTCATATGCTTCCTGATATTGTATTTCCTTTCTCGTCGCCTAAAAGGTTGATTCTACGGTGCACTAGAAATGCTAATAATATAACATGGTGACTCTCCTAGTCCGACATCAACTCGATGATCTCTCAACAGTAACGAGAAGCATCCAGCAAACTGAAACATCACGTCATTTCTAGGGACACAAACTGCGACCCACTTTGTTGGTTGACGACCATCATAACTTATATGACAATCATAACCATACTAATATTGAAACTCTAAGCCATCAGTCTAGCTGTCTTGATCAAATTCTCTTTTCCTAGTTACTTCATCTACGAATTGCAGATACTCATCCACTTGCAAACACCGGATTTGTAGAAAAGCTGCTCAGATCCACACAGGGTTGTATGCGACGACGGTTAAATGCAACGTTCCACTTTTCAGCGTCTTTCAGTTTCTATTATTGTGTGGTATATACTCCCTTATTTTTATCAGTTTTCACCTTCGAAATAAAAATCTTGTGTAATTTCTTTTCCAGTTGTCTTACGTTATACCATTTAACCTAGTGAGAAAGATGCACAGTAATGTCTTCATCACTAATAATTACACCATAACTACAAGGACGACTAGTAGAGGTTTTGATTTGGGGTTTGATATATCAATAATTTTTATATATAACAAAAATGTTATGAAAAATCTCAAAATAACACTAGATAGTAAGCCTCAGAATAATGCATACAACGTGAATCACTAGATCCAAACGCCAAAACTTAGTATCCAGTTAAGTAATCAGGGTCACATTACCAAAATTTCTACTCTTTAAGTGTGGATATAAAAAAATAAATGATAAGGAAGGTCGTACCATATTGTCAGTAACGCAGCCTGTAAGGGAGAAAGGATACAATAACGATGATTGTGTTGCACGGTTGTCATTAGTTAAAGCCAGAGACAGAGAATTTGAATCGTATTTCTGCAGGGTTTGAATCCATTGTCTCTTTGATACTGCAGCATATATGCAGTAAGGACTCCATGTTAAGTAACACCGGCTCGTAGCTCTGCTACATGTGCGCACAGCTTTTAAAAAATGTACCGATTTAACTAGAAATTGAAGCGTAAAACCCCGTCGAAAATAGCCATATCAAGCTCTATTGGTATACCTGCTTCGTTCAACATAGGCCAACCATACACGCGACCATAAAAGCCACAACCCAAGCTCGTATACCAAAGAAATTACTGACTGCTTCAAATACCCCAGTATCTGTCAAAAGTAAGGCGCAATGCGTTGCCGTTACGGAAGAAAGTTGTAACACCGTAGATCCCCAAACGCTAGAAAACCGGGGATAACGACGTAAAGCAAAAATCACTGGTTTTATTTCATGTTTCAGCGTCGGGGGTAGCTTACCAGGACGTAGGGCATCCTTTCAAAAAGAACAATGGGGCAAGTATTTTACAATGATGAAACTGGTACCACATCAGAAAAAGTGTGCTGCCTGAATAGAGGTCACAATTTAGCCAAAATTAAACCTACCCCGTTCAGAGTAACTCTAACTTCAGCAAACTTCACAGAATAAATCGTAGAGGCATATCAGAAGCCATCGATAAAACGGTCTCCTCAAATGCGGGCTGCACACAAGACGTGTGTCTAGAAGATCAGCGAACACCCATGAACTAACAGGCATGGTGGCGGTCGGAATTGATAGATGGTATTCGGAATGAGGCCCAGGAACATCATGTCACATAGTGGCTGTGAATTCAAAAACGAGGAGGACCCAACTGAGGCCCTTCAGACCTGATAAAGCCGGAAGAATGTTGTATAATACCAGTTCAGGTAATATTCTTCAACTTTGCAATAACTTCAGACATAGCATCGCAAGCACTCCCCATATAGGTTTGAAAGATGAGTTTAAATGACTCGCTCCCTTCATGCCTACAAAACTACCTGGAGAATAGGATTTACCGTACCAAGGTAAATAGAGTGCACGCGAGCTAGATGATCTTGATATTAGAATTTCCACGGAGGACCATCTTAGGTTCGTTCCTCTTCCTGATCCTTACCAACAACCTTCTAGATAGATGTAGCTCGGAAGCACCAGTTTATACAAATGACGAGATCTGGAGACAATCAACCTGTAATTGTTTCTAACTCCTCTCAAAACGTGCACGTTGTCTTATCTTAAAGTCTACAATGTTCTCACGTACCCCTTCTCTAGAAATGGCATAAATCTCTAAGACCAATTAATGAGACGAGCAGCTAGGTGGCTGATTAGCCTTAAACATAAATCATACGAAGACAGACTCCAACACTTGGGATTATTCTCGCTGAGCTACCCAAGAATAATAGGTAATACAATGTAGCAAGTACATCAAATCACCACAACATGTGAATCCTATTCTAACTTCATCACCACACTCCTTGAAGCAGCATACCAAAGAGAAAAAACCCAGGTGCGTCCCTAAATTTTCTCATTAAGAGATGCCCCTACTCGGGATAGCTTCAAGGGAAAACCTGACAAACACATGCTCATCAATGGATTACAATCTCCTGCTTCGACCAGCTGTGCCTGATGCAGCTTTCTCAACTTACCCAACATTATCATCATCGTATATCAGTAAGTTGTAAGACAGAAGTTAATCTTCTAATAGTGTTCTTATTTTATTTTGAATATTAGAGAACCGAATGTAGGAATCTGGACCCTAGATCCAAAAAAATGTTAAATACTAATTTCATTTTGTTATCTCACTATCATTAAATTATTGATCAAAGAAAGCTAACTGAAGTTCATTCATTTCATACATTCAAACTAAGTGAATTAATCACTAATCCCATTCAATAATACAATTATTTTCATAAACAATTCCCCAACAACAACAACAACAACTTCATAACTAATTTGTAATAAGAAAGATCATTTAAACAATCATTTATTACAAAACACTAGGTATATATATTTGTGAATAAAAACAATATTACTGATATTATCAATAATAGTACTATTATTATTAGTAGTAGTAGTAATAGTAGTAAGGACTAATAAATTAAAGACGTAAAGTAAATGGTACACTATAGTTTTCTAATACCAATTTTATTAAAAAAAGTTTTCTTCTTCTCAAATCAGTCAATTATTCGTTAAGAAAAACAAAACAAAATGGATCGAACAGAAAATTGACTAACTGAATAAATGAATAATAATCACAGGTTTAATTTATTGAGCCTATAAAACAATATATTCTTTCTTTTAACTCCCCTCCCCTTCCTGTCTCTTCACCCCTCTCCCTCTCTCTCCCTCTCTCAGATACATCAATAAAAAACAATCAAACAAACTATTCAACATTCAATCTGTCAAAGTCATAATGACACTATAATGAGGTAATTATCAAGAGAAAAGATTATTTTCTTTCCTTCTTGGTTTACGTTTCTGATCGGATAATTTTTTTTGATTTAAAAAACAACAACAACAACCATAGCAACCAAAAAAAGAGAAACAAAAGTGTAAAGTGAAAATATAAAATTCCCTGAGACTAATATGCTGCCCCCTTTCAACATGTATTACATAATTGAAAGAAAAAAAATTGAATAATCAATAAATTTTTTTTCTTTTTGTAAATAATGAATATTGAATAAAACTCTGAATTCTTTTCTTTTTCTCTTTTTTTTCTTCTTTAAATAAAGAAAAACTTTTGAAAAGACTTAACACCGAAATCAAAAAAATTGATTTTGGTTTATCACACTTATTCATTCATTCATTCATTAAAGTATTTTATATTAAAGAAGATTAGATGGATAAAGCAGTAAACAATGAAAAAATGAAGTGTAACTGGGGAGGGGGTTCTATGTCTTTTCTTTTTCTCCTTCTTCTTCTTCTTCCTCTTATTTAAATAAATGTCTGTAAAAAGTTTTGTTGATGTGTAGTTTCCAAAAAAAATGGGTTTGTTGTTGCTTGATAAGGTCAAAAAAGAAATAAAGTTTTACTGGGTTTATGTCATGACAGTCTTAGTTTTTTTAATAGTAAGTACATTAGATACCCGTATTGAACCTTTGAAGGAGATAAGAATAAGTTCCTTTCATGATTAGTATTTACTTTGACACAATATACATTTCATGAATAGAATGTTAAATAGAATTAGAAATATAAAACATGAATTAATGCAATACTTCACAAATGCATAATAGATTACTTTTCTTTAATATCATTTATTCTACAGTGTTTATTACTTCATCAGCTAAAAATAATTCATGAAGATACCATGGTAACTGATTATTATTATTATTATCAGTAGTATTATTATTATTAGTAGTAGTAGTAGTACCAGAAGTTTGTGAAAATAAATCTTGTGCACACATTGTAACTGAACGTAATTCAGTTAATGTCATAATAATTCTTGGCCAACATTGTGAACTAGGTATTGGATAAGTATGAGATTGTTTTATTTGACCACGTGTACGATTGACATAACGATTAAATGTTTCTAAAAGATTATTTTGATTATTTTCTATAGTTTCTACATCCAATAAATCATTTCGATCTAATTGTTATACAAAAAATATGAAAGAAATAAAAGATAGTTAATTTAATTGATAATGATATTGAGTAACAATGAGTATATTAAAAAAACGACTATGGGAAACCTAACCAAAATATAACATTGGTATACAAAGTATCAGCAACAGTATACTATGGGAGAGAACAAACTAGATTCCAGTGGAGGAAAAGAAATTAGGAAGAAGCGTTGGAAGTGGATAGGCCACATATTGAAGAAAGTACCCAACTGAGTCACAAGCAGGCCCTCACACGGACTCCTTAAGATCAACGGAAAAAAAGGTCAAAGGACATATTACACCGAGAAATGGCGACAAACATGAGAGGAATGAAGAACAATTGGATAGAACTAGAAAGGGAAGGCCGAGGACAGAGTTGGTTGGAGAATGCTGGTCAGCGGCCTATGCTTCATTGGAAGTAACAAGCGTAAGTAAATAAGTAAGTAAGTAAGTAAGTAAGTAAGTAAGTAAGTAAGTAAGTAAGTAAGTAAGTAAGTAAGTAAGTAAGTAAGTAAGTAAGTATGTAAGTAAGTAAGTAAGTAAGTAAGTAAGTAAGTAAGTAAATAAGTAAGTAAGTAAGTAAGTAAGTAAGTAAGTAAGTAAGTAAGTAATACAAAATCAATGATTATTCGTGTTGACCACGTAAGTAGATGCATATAACCTGGTGGTTGAAGGCATTGAGTAAAGTGGCTTAAAACGGATGACAACAATGCAGATATATTTATTCTTTAACCCTAATCCATGCAGAATTAGTCGAAATTGATGTTGAAATTCCAATGTTGTTTGTGATAGTGTAAATGTTTTTGGCCTCATCTTTACTGCAAACGCTAATTTTTACCTCATATGGATTGATTGCTTAGTGATTGTCGGGGTTCGAGTTTCAAATACCAACTCCAAATTCTGAAACCTATCCCACCTTTCTCACTTTGAATAGCTGCGTAATATCGTGGTATACACTATTTATGTCTCAAGACATAAGTAGGATGCAACAGCAATCGGAAGTGAAGAAATATGGCAGCAGAAGGTTAAGAAGATTGTGAGAAGGGAAAGGAATTGTGAACTAGAAGAATCATACAGAATGGAAAGGATAAATGATGGAATTTTACAAGTAAAGTATTCAGTGCATAGTTCTTATATTTTACCAAGATATATTGTAATTTTGTATCAAAACACAATCGGTTGTTCTCACATGTCTTCTCATTCACAACAATATCACAAACCGTAATGTTGTGATTTGAAATATTTAAGACTATAAATTATACTACTAATAATTTGAGGAAGTAGGAAAATGACTACTTGAAATAGAAACCAATATATATATATATATATATATGACTTGCACAATTTTTAACATACCAGTTCAACAGAAATTATAAACAGGACATTGTTAAGCAAGATAGATAGTGGCCAGCAGTGGAATCCAGTTTGACGCGCGTTTCGTCCTGTTTAAGACTCATCAGCAGGATATACCTGCATCTCAGAGTTAACGTCCACTCTAGGACTCGAATCCAGTACCATTCGCTTCAAATCCCATCGCATTACTCACTCAGCTGCAGAGTCCTGATTGACACTTGCTTTTCGAGTCCCAGAGTGCAAATCAAACTGGATTCCACTGCTAGCCACTATCCATCTTTGCTTATAAGGCTTGTGAATTAAGGCAGTATCGAGGCAATACACACGGTATGCACATATGCTAATAACGGACTGACCAACTGCAGTCTTGAACCTCTTTGGGATGATTCGAGCAAAACAATACTAAGGTCACTGTTAATTTTGAAAGAGAATTCTCCCTCTGTCAAGTTGATCCCACTATACACAATACTATGCTAAGTAATATAAACGATATTAGATAGATAACCACCATATGTTACTTACAAATGAATATATCAATTTACAAGTAAAAAGTAGAAGGATATACATTGGAAAGACATAAAGATGAAATTATAATCAGAGAAAGGTTTTTGTGAATATTATAGTAATCTCACTGGTTGAGATCATGAATCGTTTGAAGCTAGATCACCATGGAAAACCTGAAAGCACTGCATGGTCGTTTCATTCTAGTATGGGTCTCCTCAGCAATGTGTGTCCACGACCCCACCCCGCGAGATTCGAACCAAGAGCTTATCAGTCTCGTGCGCGAACGCTTAACCTCTCGACCACTGATCGGGCAACCAACGGTGTTAATGTTTAACTCCAACCAATCCACGAAATTGCGCCACTGTCCACCGTTGTCAGTTACTATCTCACAACAGACCCAGCTGAACTCCACTGGTCTTGAAAGTGTTAATATTGATCTTGCAAAACCCTCATAACTTTGAAGTAAAAGTTGTTTATGAAGTTCAGTAGCCAACCACTTATTAAACATGGGACAAAATATGAATTTAAAGAACTTATTCAAAGCCATCAATAAACAACCCAAATTCCAAATTATTAAAATTAATGGAAACTGTGGCAACTAGAAGGCTTATACTTGACCTTTGAGTTAATAGTTAACATTTGAATGCCTTGGTAACATCTTGACCTTTTTTTTGTTCAATTAAACGTAATCATAATTTAGTGATTTGACCTAATACGTCCAAACTTTTTTCTATTCACCAATAAAAATTTCTAGAACTATCATCCTAACTAACTATTTAAGGACCTGCCTTCCTTCAAGTTCTAATTTTTCTTTCACACTGCATACAATTTATTTACTATTTCGATTGAAATTATGAACCGATTAATGTTAGACCACCATGTTTAACACCGTGGGATGCCGACTAGCTCAGTGGTCTAGAGGTTAATCATTAATACACGAGACCGACAGCCCTGGGTTCGAATCCCACGAGGCAGGATCGTCGATGCTCATTGCCAAAGAGTCCCACAATAGAACGAAACAACCATACAGTGCTTCCAAGTTTTCCATGACGATCGAACTTCAATCTCAATCATTGAAATTACTATAATATCCACAAAAACCCCTCTTGAAATAGATTAATCAATATAATTGATTATCCTAATTCTTAAAAGAAATTAATATCTTTATCTACCTAAACAATCCTAAAATGATACAAACATTCGATAATAATGTGAAATTAACCAATGAACATATATATATGATTCAAAACATTGAACTCATTGATAACTTCAACATTGATCAAAAACGAATGTCCTTAAATTGACCTCGTTTTTTTTTGTTTTAAAAAAGCTAAAAATGGAATTGACAAAAAGAGAAAACGCTAAATACATCAATTTTCAATGATCTAAATGGTAATATCCATGTGAAAATTTAGATAAATTAAGGATTTTTTTTTGTTTACTTACCAGGTGACATTAATAAAATAGCTGCCATCATAGCAACATCAGTTTGATCAATGTTTAAACGTGCCATTTTTAATGCTACACCACGAATTAATTGTGCATATTTTTCATCAGATATACCAAGTTTTGGATAATGATGATTAGGTATATGTGGTATGGTTGTATTATATTGATTAGATAAATTTGATGATGATGTTGTTGTTGTTGTTGTTGCTGTTGTTATGGTACCTCGAATCAATAATGAATTATCAACTAATCCTTGAAGTTTAGCTGATTTACTGATATAATAAGCTGCTCTTAAAGTGATTAGATCAATACAACAACCACATAATAAACGGATTTGATCATCTACTTCAAGCTTTTATAATAAGTAAATAAAAGGAAAGGTTTTAATTTCTTTTTTTTAGTAATTTGGCTTACTACTGAAAATCATTTGATTGTAAGTAGTAAAGAAATTAAGAGTGAAAAAAAATTTTATCTCAAATTTCGCCACATTTCAATGATAACTATGGTTTTTGTTAAGTAGTTAGTGGTAAATAATTCCTTAAAATGAATGGATCATCATGTGATCAACACTAGATGTCAGTATCGTTAGTTTTCATGGACTGTATTAGACAGAACGACATAGTTATTGAATGAATATCATACTAGTATTCGATCGTATAGGTTATGTCATTGATATACATCCACACTTACTTATGCATATGGCGTCCCATATGAACGAAAAGCATGCTTAGGTAAGATGATGGTTAGAGGTAGTCAACAGGAAACCTGGACCTAGATTTCATGTTACTTGGCATTCGTCAACAAGGTGTACTTGTAATCATGAGGGAATTGATGTTCCCTGTCGGATTCGATTTTGTGTCACCGAGCTTCATAGTTAGAGATGTTACCACTGAGTTAGCCGGGTTGCGGTCGATTAAGTATTAACTCTTTTGTTAGGCACTTAGATATGAGCCAAACTTGAAATGTGATGGCTAATGATACTAACCAGTTGCCCAAATCTGAATAGGTAGTGTGAACTACGAGCTTGATAATTAATAGATTAGATACTCGGAGTTGGGCTTATATCACAAATTAAGGTTAAAAGTGATAGAGTTAGAAGGGTCACAATACTTTTATTTACACAAACACTCTCGAGTATGTACTGAATTAAGTCAAGTGCTTTGAGAAACAATTCGTATCACTGCTAGATACTCCATGTAATTTAACTGACACACTATGTTACACTCACTTTATGGTTGCACATAAAGATTTTCTTATTAATTTTAAGCATTTTATGAACTAGATATTTAGTTCTTTATACGAAACATTTTATCATTCAAAGAGTTTTGAATTTCCCGAGAAAAACCTAAGAGGAGACATCTTAAATCTGATTGGTTCATTCATTTTTTTCCCAATCAGGGTATTGAATTCCAATTTTCTGTTACAATAACAGTAAACAAATATCAATAACTAAAAATTCTAAGCATAATTCGACACATAAAGTTAATAATGAATAAGACGAAAACGTTGGATGTATCTTTCTTGTCTGATCTTTCCTTAGTTATCTATGTAACATAATCCATAAACTGAGATTTGTGACATTCAATTTTAATATACTTATTTATTTATTTAGTTAAACACATAAATATTGCTAAAAGGAGGCATCAAATACATATGCATCAAATAAATCATTCGATTTGTGTGAGGGCTATGATACGGCTCGTGTGCCCAAACTGAAACAGGTGCTTTTCTTAGTAAGTCACAAACAGAGCCTTTGACCTAAAGGTCTAATCCACAAGGCAGTGAAACAACATTGGGTAAGGCAATCCCATGGTAGCCGGTGATGGACAACAGGTTCGTACGACATTTGTTCCTTCAGGATCCAGGAGCCCATGTGCACCATTGGTTTGGATTCAGAGTTTTCCGATGCCCCTAGGTGAACCCTCTATGTCCACCAACCCGGTTATAGCGCCGGATATTCACTTTTCGTCCGCTCGATTTCGTAAACAACACCCTTGGTGAGAGAATGCAATGAGTAGGATTTTCCTGACAGTGGTTATATGCACGTGCATATGTGAGAATATTTGGAGACCGAAAGCTGACTGTCCCTCCTCTCGGTCGTACCAGGGCATTTGGGGGCAACTAGTATTGTGGTTATGGATTACTGGTGAGTCTTATATATGAAAGATGATTTATGCCATTATCGATATTATAAACTGAATTTTGGTCAGTCTATATTGGCATATCAGTATCGTGTGCGGTTTGCCTCAATATTACCATTTTGTTACATGTTATTTTGAATAGATATAGTTTAGTTAGCACTAGAATCCAGGACCTGTGTTTCTTCTATTTGGGATTCGTTAACTAGATATAACTGTATCCATCTATTCAAAATAACTCGTGACAAATTGTCTAGATCGAAGTAATCCACATGAGACACACATAAACCAATAGAGACTGATCACATTTCTATCCTGAATATTAACAAATAGATCAATCAAACTTTTACTAATAATTACATGAATATCGTATTCATTGAACAAGTTAATGGTTTTCTAGACCTAGTAATTCATTGAATAACGCATTGGATATTTAATGAAAACTATACTTGGTTCGAATCTCAACGCTAAAATCAACAGTGGAATACAGATACATCCAACTGCTGAATCTCAAATAAGCCAAAAACTATATCCTGGATTCTATTGCTAACTACAACCCATCTGTGGTCAATAACAGTTGGATACTTTTCTATGAGTTTCATTGATTCATTTGCTGATGTCAATACGGATGAAATCAATAAATCATATTCATTTAACGACACCGTTTTTTAGGGTAGGTTTAAGTCATATTTATTTATTTAAACACATAAATATTGGTACAAGGAGGCATCAAATAGAAATGTGCCACATAAATCATTTGATTTGTGTAAGGGCTGGGATACTGTCCGGGTGCTCAGACATAAACAGGTGGTTTCCTCAGGGGGCCACAAATGGAGCCTTCAATTTAAGGGTCTAATCCACAAGGCAATGGAGCAACATTGAGAGATGCAGTCTCATGGTAGCCGGTGACCAGTAATTGGTTCTTACGCCATTTGTTCCTTCAGGATACTGGAGCCCATGTACAACATTGATTTGGAATCAGGGTTTTCCAATTCCCTTAGGTGGATCTCCGGTTAAAGCATTGAACATTCGCTTTTCTTTTCTTTCAATTTCGTAAACAACAGTAATGCCGCGAGAATGCAGTGAGTAGGACTTCCCTGACAGTGGTTATATGCACGTGGCCATGTGAGAGAATTTGGGGGCGTTTTAATATACGAAATAAACTGAAACTAGGGTAGAGATATTTCCAGTCACTTCTAGTTTATAGTCAACTATAATGTTTGATTATATTGCAAAAGTATTTGTAAAAGAAAAGAATTTAATCTTCGAATATTATCCATATTAAATAACGATTTCAATATAGATGATCCAATGGTAGAAGTAGATAATTTATGAAATCGAAATAATGATTATTTTGAAATAGGTTGATTATTTTCACGCTAAAACTCAATTTCATATTGTGCTTCCCATTTCGTTACAATGAAACGAGTAATAATATTAACGGATAGTATTTATTAGTTAACGAAATCATTGTACAAACTATTAATTTGATAAATAACTAATCCATCTATATCTTAAGAGTTTAATCTTAAAAATGACAGATACTCAGTCAGTTACAATGTACAACCAGGCACATATATACATCGGTTCAAATTACCACACCTCATTAGCACAACAAGGTGAACACCAAATTCATAGAAGTAGTCACTTCAATGGTGGTAATATATAGAAAGATTGTGTATAAGGAATAAAGAATTAGTTCGTAGAAAAAAAAGATATAAAATAGTTCTAATCTCACAGTTTAATGAAAAACAGAGTGTATACACCGACGCCATTGTGACCAATTTTGAGCCATGTCACTCAATGTCCCCAACTATTGATTACGAATGTCATGCGGACCCCAATCAAGTAGTGTGCATCTACCAACATAGCTTAGACCAAAAGTTAGTGACTTTATGGATTGATGACACGTTTTCGTTTGACCGCCTCTAACCTTCTTCCATCTGTCTACAACACTAGTCAACATTGCTCACCGTGGTAATCGGTGGTTGCGCATGGGTGATGCGTGGCCCAACTATCTTAGTCGATGAATATGTACAACCTCATCAACTGATTTATCATCATTCCCTAATACTCTAACTTTAACCTCACTATTACTTACGTGGTGATCCCAGCAGATTCACGTAATATCTCTAAAAAATTTTAACCAAATACTAGTAACTCACGAGCATCTTCCTCCTTTTGAAAGGCCACGTTTCACAGCCATAAAATAGAACAGAACGAACTGCTACGCAGTATACTCGGCCCCTAATTGACAGGCGGATAGCTCTCCTTCGTCATAGGTGACGTAAGCTGGCAAAAGCCAAACGAACTTTCTGAATAGGTGCAGAGATTTTGTTAGAAACCAACCCGTTAAGACTGATCAGGCTTACAAGATAAGTGAAGTTGTCGATGTGTTCGACTACTTCACACCCAATCCTTAGCTCAGGTGTTGATGCAGGCCAGTTGTGAAGCAACAATTTACATTTAGAAGGGGAGGAATGCATTCCAGACATCCTGGAATTGTTGCTCAGCGCTACCGAAAGACTCTACAATTTACCAGAGTCTTCACCAAACAGGACTAAGTTATCTGCAAATTCAATTCCTGAAAATTCAGTCGATGAGAACGTTAGTTCCATCAGTGTATCTATGATGAAGTTGAACAAAATGGAGATAGTGCACTACCTTGATGGACACCATTTGAGGTTGCAAAATCAGATGACAGTTTGCCATAAGCTCTGACTCGTCTGGTATTGTTCGAGTAAAGAGCCTAGATGATACTAATTTATATTCCGTCGGTAGCATCGAGTCCTTCAAGATTACAGATATTCCTTACTGGTGAGTATCAAGTAACAAAAAGCCTAGGTTTAGGGCTTCTTTTCAACTATCTTCAGTCATCTACTATTTTAATGAACACAATTTTAAAAAACCTATTAATAAGTCGAGATATGAAGGTGAATTCATTTTTCCTGTAAGTTGGTGTAACATTTTAGAGCATTACTTGTATTCTTAATGAGCCATCTTGACATTGGTTTTATTCTCAGTGTAACATTTTAGTTAGTACAATAATGAGGGTGGCGTATGTACCAATTATTGATCACCGGTTACCATTGGACTGCATCTCCTTACGATGCTCCACTGCCTTGTGGATCAGACCTTTATGTCGAAGGCTCCGGGTGTGACCCCCTAAGAAAACCATCTGTTTCCGTCTGGGCACCCGGGCAGTATCACAGCCCACAAACAAATCAAGTGACTTGTGTGGCACATATGCAATCGGTGTACCTTTTTACCAATAAATAGCGTAAAATTAGTATATAAATGAGTGTCTTTGGTTTATTAATGAAGTGGTTTTAAACTTATTTTGGTGATGTATTTTTGAAGAGTCAATAAATATTAATTTGTACCAGTAATTATGTTTTCACTTCACGACGTGGGAATTTTAGGGGTTCCTATCTTCAAGTATAAGAAGTAGGATCATGGATACAATATAGCCGATACACACATAACGGGGGCAATACATCAGATATAAAACTTATGCAATACTCTCAAATATCATTCTATAAGGTTCAACATTCAAGTAAATTTCTTCTGACAATCAATTAAAACTTACTGTATCAAATCCTTGAATTTGTTTAGCAAATTTCACTAAACGTGTTATTGCTGGTTCAATCAGATATGCTAAATCATGAAATGTTGTCATATAAAATGATCTAGCATGTTGAATATCTTCTTGTTCAACTTCATCTAACTAAAACAATAGAGATAATTAAGAATTAAATAATAAATAATAGTAATAATAAAAAGGATATTTAAAATTAAAATAACTATAAGCAAAGGTAGATAGTGGCTGGAAGTGGAATCCAGGAAGTGCGTTTCATCCTATTTGAGACTCGTCAGCTGGATGTACCTGCGTTTTAAAGTTATTAACCAAATTCTCCTATTTTCTATAAGTACTGTAGTGAACGAGAACACATCTAAGGATAATCGAAAGTAACTCAGTACGAAATTATAGAATATCTTAGTCAAATTTGAGAACAATACAGTACATACTTTATTTGTAAAATATCAATCGATTGTCTCAAACTTGACTGTTTCGTCGTTTCCATAACAATCACTCTCTGTTCTCAATCTTTTATCTTTGATCTTAACCTTCTACTTCTAGACATTTCATTTTTGATTGATGATACATACTACTTATATCTGTCGGCATCAGTAGTATAAAGCATAGTATTCTAATATTATGTTTTATCATATTTTTACGTTGTTTGATGGTGTTTGTTATTTCCCAAATGAATTCATGAATGTTTGTTTACATTAGACTATTTCAAACTATATTGAAAGCTTATACACATGACACAAGAAAGAAATATATTGAATTAGTGGCTTAGGAAAAACTGAGTGTATTCTGAATTAATGGTTGCGAATAGAACTATACTTTTGGTTACGTTTACATATTGTTAGTCACACTTTAGTGGAGGGGGGGCAGTTTATGAAAAGAACTTCCGGAGAAACTGAAACAAATACCTGTAGTCACAGCAAACTTTATGATTCAAAGAAGACTAGACCATTTTCTTTTACTTAACCTTTGATAATAGTGATACTAGTTCATATTTCTGAAGAGTTATCACATCACCATCATAACACTAAGAAGGCATTATATCTATTTTTTTAAAAACAGAATAAATTTATCTTGGTTTATAATTAAGACGATTACTAAATGATTAAGGTGTCCAACATCCAGTCACTACGTTCTGGCTTCGAATCCTGTCAGATTTATTTCGGTTTGGGCAACTGACACAGTATCATTAAGCACCCCCCCCCCCAGTATAAGTGACACTCAAGTGCCTGATAAATGAATTGATTTTTTCAACAACAAAAAAACTTTTTAAATACTAAATTAGCTTAATGGTATACTTTGTGAACTTTAATCCATAGATTATAGTCAGTAATAAGAAAACCCTAAGATACAATGAAAGTTAATATTGTACATTTAACGTATAATTGATTATATCTACAACATATGGTTACATAGATCGGATTATTATTTTAAACGAAGTATGATTTATAACTTGTTAGTATAATCAGATATACTATAAAGTTTCGGTCAATGAGAATAGTCTATTGTCAATTTAGATTAATATAAAATAACATTCACAAGACATAAAGTCATATGTTTAACTAATCTAACAATTTATTTTTAAATGTATAAGTAGATCAGTTTGTCAGTCAGCTACAACGTAGGACCAAGCATATATAGGCATCGGTCCAAGTTGTCATACCCTATTAGCACAGCGAGATGAACACCAAATTCATAGAAGTAGTCACTTCAATGGTGGTAATACATAGAAAGATTGTGTATAAGGAATAAAGAATTAGTTCGTTAAAAGAAAGATATAAAGTAGTTCTAATCTCACAGTTTAAGAAAAAACAGAGTGTATACACCGACGCCATTGTGACCAATTCTGAGACATGTCACTCAAAGCCTCCAACTATTGGTTACGAATATTATGCGGACCCCAATCAAGTAGTCTGCATCTACCAACACGGCTCATACCAGGATTTGGTGGCTTTATGGATTGACGCCACGTTTTCGTTTGACCGCCTCTAACTTTCTCCCAATCATCCTCAACACCGGTTAGCATCGCGCGTCGTGATAATTGGTGTTCAAGCATATGCGACACGTGGTTCAACCATCTTAGTCAATGAAGATTTACAACCTCATCAACTGATTAACCATCATTCCTTAATACCCTGCATCTAACCTCACTATTACTTTCACGGTGATCCCAGCATATCCATGTAATATCTATAGGACATCTTGGACCGATGCCTATAAGTGCCTGGTCCTAAGTTGTAGCTGACTGACTGGCTGTATTTTCTGTGACTATTATCGGAGAGTTGAATGATCATAAGTCAGTAAAACAGTTTACCTTATGAGATTTATTTAGGAGTTAAGGGTCATAGTTTCACATTGAACCCTATCAACAGTAGTTAAATAAAAGATAGATAGTAGTATTTCTGTAAACGAGAAGTTAGGTAGCGACAATTAATTTATTATGTCATACAAAATTATAGAGTTTGTTCATAAAATGTTAAAACTATACAGTTCAATATGTCACTTGTAAATTCTCCATCAAATGTCTCAAAGTTCATTGTTCCTTCATTACTATAATAATTACTCTGTGTTCCCATCCTCTTCGATTACATCTTTCCAACCTTCTAATATTAGGTATTCCATTACTGATTGGTGTTACATAATACTTATATCCGTCGATATAAGTAGTTTACACCATAGTATTACAAGTCTTCAAACAAGGATCTGTGTATTACTTTTGAGTTGAACACAAATAGTTACACATATACTTATAAATATAGTTTACTCTATGATTCATGAACTTGTAGATTACATGTAGTTCATTTTACAAGTATAGATTTATGTATTCAAGTTTTCGGGCACATTTTTTTCGCATAAAAACTAATTATATTATTCGGCTATTCACATCAAAACAAGTAGGGATAGGGTTCGAACCAGTGATCTATTGATTGAAAATCTAGTCATTTAACCAACTATGTTTTTTTCAATCTTGATAACCAATTAGTTGGTTGATTCATCTTTTACGCTTAGTGTTTCGCATCAAACCAAAAACAAACAAGCTGACAATCCCACTTTATATCATTACCATAAAAATTATTATAATTATTACCAATACTACTACTAACTACCACTCCTACGACTACTACTACTTCTACTACAACTACTACTATTACTATTACTACTACTACCACTCCTCCGACTACTACTATTACTACTACTTCTACTACTACTACTACTACTACTACTACTACTACTACTACTACTACTACTACTACTACTACCACTCCTCCGACTACTACTATTACTACTACTACTACTACTACTACTACTACTACTACTACTACTACTACTACTACTACTACTACTACTACTACTACTACTACTACTACTACTACTACTACTACTACTACTACTACTACTACTACTACTACTACTACTACTACTACTACTACTACTACTACTACTACTACTACTACTACTACTACTACTACTACTACTACTACTACTACTACTACTACTACTACTACTACTACTACTACTACTACTACTACTACTACTACTACTACTACTACTACTACTACTACTACTACTACTACTACTACTACTACTACTACTACTACTACTACTACTACTACTACTACTACTACTACTACTACTACTACTACTACTACTACTACTACTACTACTACTACTACTACTACTACTACTACTACTACTACTACTACTACTACTACTACTACTACTACTACTACTACTACTACTACTACTACTACTACTACTACTACTACTACTACTACTACTACTACTACTACTACTACTACTACTACTACTACTACTACTACTACTACTACTACTACTACTACTACTACTACTACTACTACTACTACTACTACTACTACTACTACTACTACTACTACTACTACTACTACTACTACTACTACTACTACTACTACTACTACTACTACTACTACTACTACTACTACTACTACTACTACTACTACTACTACTACTACTACTACTACTACTACTACTACTACTACTACTACTACTACTACTACTACTACTACTACTACTACTACTACTACTACTACTACTACTACTACTACTACTACTACTACTACTACTACTACTACTACTACTACTACTACTACTACTACTACTACTACTACTACTACTACTACTACTACTACTACTACTACTACTACTACTACTACTACTACTACTACTACTACTACTACTACTACTACTACTACTACTACTACTACTACTACTACTACTACTACTACTACTACTACTACTACTACTACTACTACTACTACTACTACTACTACTACTACTACTACTACTACTACTACTACTACTACTACTACTACTACTACTACTACTACTACTACTACTACTACTACTACTACTACTACTACTACTACTACTACTACTACTACTACTACTACTACTACTACTACTACTACTACTACTACTACTACTACTACTACTACTACTACTACTACTACTACTACTATTACCATTACTACTACTACTACTACTTCCACTACTACTACCACTACAACTACTAACATTAATTAAATTTACCTTTGTGAGAAATCCGGTCACATGTGAATCCACGATACTTTTAATTACAAATTCACCTGAATTCAATTGAGAATTATCACCTGATTGAGTAATATCTTTATTATTTGTACCAGATAATTGGTTTTGCATTGTTTTATTATTAAGCTTAAAAAAAGATACATGAAAAGATTTATATAAATTTCATATTTAACAATAAATAATGATACTTATGATTGATGGATACAATAATACATATTACAATACTTTCATTAAGAAAATGGAAAGTAACCAATGTAGGGGAGAAATACAATGGCCAGATAGAATTTAGCAACAAGATGATAAACACATGGGATTGGTCGGGATTTATATTTTATTTTTAGGGAATGAAATACACACATATAGTGGAGATATGTGACTTAAATTTCTAAGGGATATATATATCAGAAGGGGTTTTGTGGAGGTTTTAGTAGTTACAATAGTTGAAATCATCACAAAACCCCTTCTGATAATAATCATCTGCTCATTAGTGACTGACTTCAAGAGACACTCCTGGAGTTCTAGTAAGAAGCTGTGACCAGTGGAGTTCAACCAGGTTTATTGTGAGGTATCAACTCACTGTAGACAATGGTGTACGGTGGCTTAATTTTGTGGATAAGTTGAAGTTAGATATTAACACCGTTGGATGCCGGCTCAGTGATCTAATGGTTAAGCGTTCTCGCGCGAGACTGATAGGTCCTGGGTTCGAATCTTGTGAGCGGGTTCGTGGATGAGCACTGCTGAGGAGTCCCATACTAGGACGAAACGACCATGCAGTGCTTTCAGGTTTCCCATGGTGGTCTAGTATCAACTGACTCATGATTTCAACTATCTATCTATCTATCCATATATATATATATATATATATATATATATATATATATATATATATATATATATTCCCCACTCAGGTAGTCGGTTGGGTTGCGCCTAGAAAGTTGGTATCAGTCGGAGACAACAGAGTACAACAGACAGATGACCAAACGTACCTATAGAGAACCTAGTTCAATCAAATTTCAGACAGGTTTCATTTATGGCTATATGTATGTAAGACAGGGATACTAGCTACATTCTCTAATTTATAAAAACGAAGTAGGGTTGGAATTATCAACTAAGTGGTTACAAATCAAGTGCTTCGATCTCCAATTCACCTAACCGTTAAAGATACATCATTTTGAAGTGATCACATTTGACTAACGTATACTAACTTACTTACTTACGCCTGTTACTCCTCGTGAAGGAGCATAGGCCGCTCACCAGCAGCCTAACTAACGTATAGAAACAGACAATTAGCAGAATTGAAATAACAATAAAAATATTAGATGTAAGCGAAGAAAAGAACAAACGTAAACGATAATTAATAAGACACTTAAGACTGAAGAGAAATTTCATGTGATGAATCTTGAACAATTCTGATGAATATAATATTCAGCTTTTTCATTCAGTTATTGATTTCATCACTAAGATATTACTTAGATAGTCTAAACCTGTCAAATTCTTCAGCTGTGTTGCATAACTAGGCACCAATATATGCCTATCCTGAAGTAACACTTCGAGTGTGAAGAGAAGGAGATATATTGCAAACGCTATAAAATTACTAATCAAGGCTCTTAGAAAACTACATTTTGTTAGCATCTTCTTTTTAGAAAATATGTTGTTTTAGCACTATAATTTGATGAAACAGGGCATCAATACTTAGAGTTCTAAATGGAAATGTATATACGTGTGGCCGTGTGAGAGCATTTGAAGAGGGAGAGAGGACTCTCCCCACCCTCGGCCGTACATCCAGATCCTATAATCTAACTATTCTAATCTAAATTGATCTAAATGATAATTTGTCAACAAAATTATCTTTAAACACTTCCGGAACTCATTCATTAGGAATTGATCAGAATTTAGCTATACTATTAACCTTCCTAAACAAATTTCAAGGATAGATAATCCTCTACCAACCATATTCAGAGATGGTGGATAGAGATGAGACACTTCTATTTTCGCCATTGATTTAATTCCAGAGACTGACAGGTTATCTGTTTGCTGGATTTTTATATAAAATCCTTCATTACTGCATATTTTTTCTCGGTTTAAGCCGCCTACTTTGGAGTTAATGTCAACCATCACAATTCCTACATTTCAACTTCTTGGGTTAAATGTCTAGTGGTAGAGTTTTTCTTTTGTTATGTCACATAAACACCAGTTTATATCTTAACTTTTCTAGGTTCAGGATGATTATTACTATATGCTGACTTGAGATCATGAACCGATTGATGTTACACCACCATTTAAAACCTGGAAGCACTGGACGGCCGTTTCGGCCTATTGTGGAACTCCTCAGCAGTGCGCACCCGTGATCCCGCCCTTGGCAGGATTCGAACCCAGAGCCTTCAGCCTCACGAGCGGACACTTAACCTACTGGACCACTAAGTCGGCATCCAAACGTGTTAATGTCTAACCTCAACCAATCCACGAAGTTGCCGTCCAGTGCATCTAGGTTTTCAATGGTGGTCTAACATCAATCGGTTCATGATCTCAATAAAAAAAAACTTAACAATTTCCACAACCGCTAAACTGATATATGCTGGCTTATTTGATTTTTCGGTCTACATAACCTTTAAAGTGAAAAGCAGTGAAATTCAGGATACATATTTCATCCCATTTGAAACTCATCGTCTAAATATGACTATCTTAATATTGATATTCACGCTGGAACCTGAACCCAGTACCTTTTCGTTTCAAACATCCTACTGTTGGAGTGATCCAGAAAATTGCTTGCAAAAGACAAGCAAGCATCAGGAAACACTAAGAAGCGTTTCATCCAATCACCATTCATTTGGAGTTTTAGCCAAAAATATCAAGGAAGTGAAACGTCACGTGCATAGGTTCTGGTTGACTGATTGCTACACTGCTACTATGTTTAGTAGCATTCCAGAATCTTCTAGCAACCCAAGGACATTTAAAATATTATAAAAACCCTGAATTTTCTGTAATAAGATTAACCTTAGAGTAAACTACTTATCGCATAGTTTGAGTCTTCTCTCTCGTGTTCAAGTCGCTGTATAGTTCTAGCATGGGGGTTACAGAATAGCTTAGGAGACAAATATAGCGCTCAATCCGCAAAACTAATCACTAACGCCTAACCCATTAAGTTACTAACAAACAAAGATTTACTTAAAACTCTTTTAGAACTCCATTCTTTTGAAACAAATCAATTAAACTTACTGAATCTTTATCAAAATATGTAGATTCATATGCATTACATACTGAATTCATTAGATTTTGATCATCAATTGTCCATACAAATAACTCATCTGTTACATTTAAAACATCATCGTTTTTTAAATTTAATTGTAATTGATCTTCAGTGTTTTTTGTCAAAGTTACCGACGATGAAGATGTAGATAATGATAACGATGATGATGAGGACGATGATGATGATGAAGAAGATGATGATGATGACGACGACGACGAGAGATGATGATGACGAATAGTCAGCAATAGAAAATGGATTAATAATAGAAGGTGTATTTATAGAAGTAATTGGTATAGTAAATTTTCTTTCATCTAATTTAGCAATTTTCATTTCACTAACATCATCATTATTCTTTGTTAAATTATTCTTTATAAGTGGATCATAATGTAAGATATTTATGGGATTCGTTTGTTTCATTACTAAATTAAGATCATGATTTTGATGTGACATTGATGACGGTTGTTGTTGTTGTTGCTGCTGCTGCTGTTGTTGCTGTTGCTGTTGTTGTTGATGGTTATGATGTTGATGTTGATGATCAGGATGATGATGATGTTGTTGTTGATGATGATGATGATTTCGTTGATGTTGATCATATGATAAAGTATCATTCATTAAACTAACTGGACAATATTGTGTAATATTATTTTCATTAGTTATTAATGATTGTGTAAATTGTTCATTATTCCAATTAGAATCAGTTACAATAGGTTGAATAAAATTATTTTGATGTTGTTGTAATGGTAATTGATGATGTTGATGTATTGTAGTTGTTAAAGGATGATGAAATGTATTGTCAATGGTTTCATTAATAGTTGAATTATTTGTCCAATATAATTGATTAGATTCATCTAATGAAATATTAGATGATATATTCACTAATGAATTTGAATGAAGTGTATTATTTGATATTAAATCGGTTGTTGATACTTGAAGTGAATGACCAGAAGGATGTTGAGGATGATGAGGATGATGTTGTTGTTGTTGTTGATGATGATGTTGATGTTGATGATGATGATGTGGTGGTGGTGGTGGTGGATGGTGATTAGTACTTACGTAATGAGCATGTTGATTTATAGGAGAATTTCCATCTGAATAGATAAGATTATTTCTTGTTGGTGATGTTTGTAATAATGGTAGCATAGCACAATTTGGATCATATATCGTTGGTTGAATTGATGTTGAATTATGCTGATCAAGATTATTAGTAGATGATTGTACTGTTGGACTAAGATTTGTAGATATATGAAGTTGAGTTGAATTACCATCAGTTGGTGATAAATTAGTAAAATTCATTACACCTGTTTGAGCTGTTATCGATGGATAATTATGTAATACTGAACGTGGTTGATTAGTTGTTACCATTGGTGGTTTAATTTGTGATTGTCTAATTTGTGCTGGAATTACATTCTGTTGAGATATTAAAGGAGAACGATGAAGTGGTGAAACAGCAGTTGAAAGAGAAGAAGGTGTTGGAGGAAGATAACTAGTTTGTTTAGGTGGACTTGGACCAGAATTAATTTGACTTTGTTGTATTGCATTGTCAGATTCAGCACGTTTACGTGCACGATTTGCTTCAATTAAACGACGTTTTGCTAAACGTTTTTCTTCATCCAAAACCACTTTTTAGAAAAAAAGAAATTCAGAAGTCAGTCTATTGGTTAGTGTTTCATTCTAAACTAAATTTATTTAAAGACACTTGAACATCTTCGTTATTGTTATAAACACTCTTATCATTTGACTTATCAGGACCTGCTTCGGTCTGGGCACCCGGGCAGTATCACAGCTCTCACACATATCAAATCAGATCTGTGTGGCGCATATGTATTTGGTGCCTCCTTGTACTGATATCAATGTGTTAAAATAACTAAATAAATAATAACTTATCAGGAATCAATCTATCAGGAGATTGTCTTATTAACCTAGAATACGCAAACGGTGTAACTTTGTTTGGCAAAGACTTTCAAGAACTTCAGTCTTTTAACTGCCTTAAGCAACAATATTAGCATGTTTGAGATTCATTTCTCTTCATTTAAATGTAAAATTTTACATCAGGATAAATGTGTACCAATGCCTTAACTAGTAATAGGGAGTGAAGCAGTTGAGCACATCGACCACTTTATTTATCCTAGGAGTTTCATCAGTCCTGATGGATGAGTGTCTGACGAAATTTCGTCAAGAATTCAGAAAACCCTGTTGGTTTTCACCAAATTAAGTAATTTGTGATATAGTTAAGATATCGGTCTGCCAATTAAAGGATGACTCTATTGCTCAACAATTTTCTCTCTTTATCTTTATGAGTGTGGAACATGGTCTTTAAAAATAGAGGATCTTTGTATATTATTAGTGCTCAATTATAGATGTCTTCATCTATTTTGGGATCATTGTGTTAGCAATTCTGAGTTTAAACACAGAGTGCAAGGTAAATATGACAAATTAATTAATGAGTGGATTGTTATTGACTGAGATAGTTGGCATATGTATTACATATGTCCAACCACCTCGATGCGTGATTATTTTCTATGTAGCAGTATGGGAGACTAAGCCAAGTTGCGGCATCAGTCCATGAAAATGCTGACTGTTGGGATGAACCATGAAGGCAGGTGCGAACTATTTGATTAGGATCTGCATGATTATTGTAACTAATGGTTAGAGGCTTTCAGTGATATGTTTCAAAATCGTTCTGAATGACATAGGTTCATTCAATCTGTTTCCCATTAGATCTTCAGTTTTTAAAATCATATATTTGACTCCTAGTCTTCTCTATTAACATTAATACTGTTACTATCTCTACTACTAAGGGATTCGCCCTGACAATTTTATCTTTTTGTACTAATGGTGTATGGCACCGTGAATCTATGTGCTCATTTGCCAGAATCTACATTGAGTCTAAATGACCAATATCTGTGTTTATATCATAATTTTGGACTATTTAGCATCACCAATTGTTGACCTTCATTATTTTAGGAATCACATACTGCTTCCTATGCCTTAAGTCGACTAGAGATCTAACTGATTAACTCAATGAATATTTTCACGTTTTATTCCACTCTACTCTGTCTTTGATTAATAAAGTATGTTGATTAAGTTATAGTTTTGCTGTACGTTCTAGTTACTTTAATCATCAAAATTTAGTCACCTTATCAACGTAGTGACCTACTTTATGTTATATTTAACAATGGGATATAATCTATCAAAAATTTAACAACTCCATACAAATTCATTTACTAGGCTGAGAACTTATGCTATTGTAGTGAACGAGAACATAAGTGGGGACAGTTGAATGCATTCCGATACAAAATTACAGAATATCGTGATACAATCTGATAACCATACAATAAATTTATCATGTGCAAAATGTCAATCAATCATCTCAATCTTCATTGCTCTTTCGTTACAACACTAATCAATCTCTGTTCTCATTCTCTTTTCTTCGGTTTTTTTTTTAACCTTCTGTCTCCAAACATCAGTAGCACACACCACAGTACTACTCAATGATTGGAGCTTTAACAAGTGAAAAGAGACATTAATTGATGACCCATTGGTTAGAACATTTCCTCCTAACCGAAAGAAGCTTATTTTCAGAATATTTTATACAAATATTAATAAAAATAAGTGTTAAACCAAGAAGAACTGAGATAGATGCTCGTTTACAGAAATGTATAAGTGACAAAATTCGAACTTTCAAGCTTCATTTCTCCTTTGTTTCATATGTGAAACAAAATCATGGCCCTTTGACCAAAATGTTTTATAAGAGTCATCAATTTATAATGAAGATATGATTACTTGTCGGATGTAAAGTAGTATAAGTCTTAATTTGGAATTTCACGGCATAGTGAACTCTTTGAATAGTTGAGATTATGGGTCAATTGAAGTTAGACCACCATGGAAAACCTGAGAGCACTGTATGGCCGTTTCGTCCTATTGTGGAACTCGTCAGCAGTGAGCATCCACGATCCCGTTCACGGGATTCGAACCCAGAACTTTCGGCTTCGCTTGCGAACGCTTAACCTCTAGACCACTGAGCCAGCATCCAGTAGTGTTAATGTTTAAATTCAACTAATCCATGAAATTGAGTGTCACATTCACCATTGTCTTTAGTGAGTTACTATCTCACAACAGACCTGATTGAACTCCACTGGTCACTGCTTCTTACTAGAACTCCAGAAAATATCTCTTGAAGCTATTCACTAATGATACTAATACTAATCAACTCTGTTGATAGATTTCTTCAAGTACATGAAAGATAAGTTAACTGAAAAAAAAGATTCTATTCACAGTGAATATGATACAGAGAGATCCATCAAGCATTCATTTCATCTCATCTAATGAATACTTATTTATATCAGATGAGGTATTTGTCACAAAACACAAATTTCATCCATTTATTCCAGTTGCATCACATCAAAATACTCGAAGACTGACCCAATACTAAATACATAACTTTAAGATATTGTTAACTCAAATGTGAATATAGTTTAGACGGACTAAGGTTATCTCATACATTACAGTCAGTAATCACTGCCAATCAGTGGCAACGTAGATACTGAGACGTATATACATTGGTCCTATATGCCATATACCATTAGCACAGAAAGATGTCAGACCGAATCCCAAAATAGTAGAAGTAGTAACAGTATCAGAAGTAGTAGGAAAGATTAAGCATCAAAGATATGACTTGAAAAGCGTACGAATTAGCGAAATAAAAATAAGAGAAGAGTTATGAAGAATTTCAAGTCTCAGGATTTGGAGGAACACAATGAATAGATACACCACAGATATTGAAGATATTTTAGATCCATATCATTCAAAGTTCCTAACCAATGTTTAAGATAATCATGAGGACCCAAACCGATTAGTTTACACCTATTAACATGACTCATTCCAATTGTCAGAGACTTAATGAACTGATGAAATTTATTGGTTTAACCACCCCTAACTTTGTTACAACCTACCTCCACACATAAATAATATTGGTTGTTAGGGCAGGTGATATTTTGGGATGCATAATACATGTCCGAACCACCTGATTTGTGAAGATTTAATACTGCATCAATCGATTCGTCATCCTTACATTGTCCCCTTTTCTTAACCCAGTATATGTATAGATTACTGATAATAAGAAAGCTATTTGAAGTTCGATGAACATGCTTATGGATGTTCGAAAAAAATTCACCAATGCATCATTACCAATGGGGTATACTTGAAACCCGATGATATTGCGACTATACTCGTTCATATGAGAAACAGTTTACTCACGTAAAACAACGTGAAAGGATCAGCGATAGGGGCTAGAAAAGCTTAGCCTCTAGAAAACACTACGGGTTGTGCAGACTGTTGAATGTTATTGAGAACACGAGCAGTCATGCTCACTTGTGACTAGCTTCCACAGGAAATTTCCGTAGTTCTAGTAGAGAGCATTGAACAGTGGAGTTCAAGTGTTAAATGTGAAGAGACTTTCCATCGAAGGAAGCAGATGATCGCATGCTATTACTGATTGACTAAAATTACACTTGCACACTGTTGAATCTCAGATCAGTGGTACGAATGTTAAGCGACTGCACACGAGATCGAAGGTCCGGTGTTCGATCTCAGGTACGGGATTATGAATGGACATTGCTAGGAAGTTTGATACTCAGTTATTCGCTCAATTCCACCTCTCAGTATTGATCTAATTTAATTCGGTTTATGGTTTAAATAACAGACTTAATAATAGTAGTAATCGGCTCAAATTAAAGCCCAAGACCATAGTTACACAAACAAAATAATTATTTTCAACTTACAATCTTTGGCCATACCACCTTTAATACACCGATCAAAACGACATTTTTGACAACTATTTCGATTTTGTTTATCTGATACAGAACATCGTCCATTATATTTACAAGTATAAACTAGTTTCTTCTGTACTGAACGTCGAAAAAATCCTTTACAACCTTCACATGTCATAGCACGATAATGAAATCCAGTTGCATTATCACCACATACAACACAAGGTTCAGGACCATTAGCTGGATCCATATAACTAGGAATATATGGATCTTCTGATAAACAGAAAAAGAAATATATTAAAATGGATAAATAAACAATTAATAATTTAATTTCACAGAAAAGGGTTTTTGTGGGTAATACAGTAATTTTAATAGTCAATTGAATCAATTGAAGCTAGACCACCATGGAAAACTTGGAAGCACTATGGCGGCCATTTCGTCCTACTGTGGGACTCCTCGGCGGTGTACACCCAATTGTATTTTATATCATTTTAAGGATTAGAATTTAAAGAATTCCGACGTTTTATCCAGTTATGTTGTCTGAACTTATTTAAGGTTATAATAGTAAAAAATCATAATTATCAAGGATTGTAGAACCTTTAATAATCAAATCTATATTAAAAGCTTAACAGGAGTTGTAATCTCATTACAAAGAAAAGAGATGGACAGATGAAATGAACTTAAAAATTTTCTTTATGCAGTGTAAATTGCTATCTTAAAGGGATATAAAAGAAGATTGTTAAAAATGAAAGACTAATGCAGATTGTATACTGAACCAAACCAAAACGTGGCATCAGTGCTTAAAGTCACTAACTTCTAGTTTGAGCTATGTTGGTAGATGCAGACTACTTGGTTGGAGTCCGCGTGAGACTATCGTAACCAATGGTTGGAGACTCTTGATGACATGGCTCAGAATCGATCACAGTGGCGTCGGCGTATACACTCACTGTCTTCCCTTAAACGATGAGATTAAAATCGTTTTATATCTTTCTTTCTACGAACTAATTCATTCTTCCTGTACTATGTTCTTATTGCAATCTTTCTTTTATATATTACCATAATATAATATAGGTAAGGATGGCAAATCAATTGATGAAGTGGTGAAACTTCATCAGTTGAGATGGCTGGGACACTTGTTACGTATGCCCAACAACCGACTGCCTCGACGTGCGATGTTCAGTGGTATAGGAGTAGGTTGGAAGAAAGCTAGGGGCGGCCAGACCAAAACACGGCACAAGTCCATGAAGTCACTGACAAGTGGTCTGAGTCATGTCGGTAGGTGTAGACTACCTGGTTAGGGACCACGAGGTGATAGCAACAGATGGTTAGAGACCCTGAATGACATGGCTCGAAATCGTTTGCAATGGCGCAGGTGCATCCACTCTTTGTGTTCTCCCAAATGTTGATCTCCTTATTCCCCCTTGTCTCTTTTTTTCTCTTTCCAAATTTATTTCACTGTAGTATACTCTTTAAATAACATCTCCAAACACTAATCTTCCCGATAACTGCTTATACTCTTATTACCTCTACCACTACGGGATGTGGATCGACAACTGCATCTCTGTGTTAAGGTGGTGTGGAAACTCGAACTGATGTACGTACGTACGAAGTTCTACGTTGATACTGACTGACTGACTTTATATATTACCACCTCTGAACTAACTACTTTTATGAATTCGGTGTTCATCTTGTTGTTGTGTTAAGGAGGTATGGTAACTTGGACCGATGCATATATATGCATGGTCCTACGTTGTAGCTGACTGACCGACCGATACTGGAAGAATGGAAGAACGTTGTTGTCACCTCATACCATACAGAAACATCAGGGGAAATGAACATGATTCTAAATAAACACAGTACGAGAGTCTATTTCTGTGCAAACGATACCATATGATCGAGATTAGCTAAAGTTGTGGATAAACTTTTAAGTGAATAATAATAAGATTTTATCTATGAGATCAAATTTCATGGATGTAACGGTGAAACAGCGTTTGGAACATGTTCATTAATCCTCGATTGATCTCAAGAAACTTGAATATAGATTGACAATAGCGTTACGTTCGTTAAAAAAAGAATATAAGATCAACTTTGAAAAGACTAAAATACTTCAAAAAAAAAGGTTTAACACGTGCGAAGAAAGATCCTGGAGCCATGTGCACCATGCGTTTGGAATCAAGGTTTTCTAACCAATCTAGGTGGATCCTCCGTATTCCCCAACCCAGTTAAAGCGCAGAACATTTGCTTTTCGTCCTCTCAATTTCGTAAACAACACCCTCGTCGCGAGAAGACAGTGAGTAGAAGTTCCCTGATAGTTGCTACATACGCGTGGCCATATGAAAGCATTTGGAGAGGGAGACTGGACTCTACCCACTCCCGGCCGTAATAAGGCATTTACAGATTAGTTCAAAATAATTTTTACATGTAATGTCTTCTGAATAATCAGGACTCGACTTCTGTCAAGTTATTGGAGACTAATAATTTAAATTAATAATTTATACATAAGCACAAAAGTTTAAGTAAAAAAAAAACAGTATTTTTTATTTGGTAGCCTGAATTTTGCCTAAAATGATAGTAATCTTAGGAAGCACTAAAGGATTCTAATGATAAGTAAGCGGAAGAAAACTAGGAACTTTAGTAACCTATTTTAATAAACAGAGTTGAATACAGGGTAGCGATCCGATCCAGGACATGCGTCTCGTCCTGTATGGGACTCATCAACAGGATGTATCTGGCCTCTAGAGTTTATGGTCTCATCGAAACTCTACCGCAGTAACTCTCACTTCAAACACTTTAGATATTATCCACTGAGCTACTAAGTTCAAATAGCTAATGATTTATCCAACCAGATGAATTTCTCCTAAATTTGTATTGGTTATCTGAATCAAAACTGAAGTGCAGGTACGCTTAGCCGACGAGTTCCAAATTGGTTTGGATTTCATTGCTATTTGATGGCAATATAGAGGCAATCAATGCAGGATGCACATGTCCTAAAAGGGACTGATCAATTTTACTCCATAATATCAACTAGACAATTCACAAAACCAATACAAATGTATTTCAATAATCTATGTTAAATGAATTCGGATTCATGTTTATGCATAGAAATCACTGAATTATTTAGTGTGAAATGTATTCAAAATTATTGATTTCTCATATGAGAGTCAAAGTTTCATAGATCATATTATGGAGTGGTTTTAGTTAGATAACTATTGAAAACCGGTAGGCACTAAACAACTCTTTTTTTAAATATGGGACACCTCAGCAGTGAACATCCATGACCAATGGAAATTAAAGCTAGGACCTTCAGGTCTCAATGCGAGAACTTTATTTTAATCCAATTTGCAATACTACGCAACTATCTTCTAATGCCACAGATGGCTAACTGCACCACACATAACATGGTTAGACTCCACTGGTTACAGCTTCCTACTAGAACTTCGAAACTCGCTATTGGATGTCGGCTCAGCGATTTACAGGTTAAGCTATAATGGCCCATTACTGACGAATCTCATTTTAAAGTGAAATAAGGGCCTTCATATTTCGCGGTAAACGCTTAACTATTAAAAACAGGTTGGTGTTCGGTTGTGCTATTGTAACTTTAATCAGTGTGGTGATTATTTAATACCACTGGTAGCAAAGGTTTCATTACTAACGTACTTGAGCTCTACACACTAATAGGACTTCGCAAACATCTTGAAATAAGTCACTGTTGAGCTGATCAAATACTTTTCTTAAATTTTCAAAGGTAGATAATCAGCCTCACTTTATTATTACCAAATTCTCTGATAACATTCGTTCGAAACGAGTACTAAATGATATCATTTGAATCGGGTTTAGTTGTATATGAGAACTAGTGATAATCGTTGAGACGGACTTCGAAAGTACGACTTAGTTGAACACCTTGACCAATTCATTTACCAGTTTAACAAGTAGATATAAGTTGGGTGAATGATTCTTAGTAATTTGAACACAATCTTTTAGTTATTCGGTCAAAGGGGTCTTTCTACCTAATTCCTTTTTGATAGATAACTCACATCATCAAGTTTCACATAAAAATATGGTTGAATATGGTTTAATCAATGAATCGCGTTTTGTATGTGAAGCTTTATGATCGAAGAGGTGGGTATTGATGGTTGATCTTCAAAGAAACATTATTTAATCATGAACATATATTTACATTAGGATTATTAATCTCAAATAAACAATAAATGTCAGTATGGGCTTGTGGATTGGTTGAAGTTAGTCACTAACACTGTTGAATTCAGGCTCAATGGACTAAAGGTCCTGGGTTCGAATCCTGTGTGCGGGATCGTGGATGTGCAATGCTGAAGAGTCTCATACTAGGACGAAGTGGTTGTTTGGTGCTTCCAGGTTTTCATCAATGGTGTAAAATCTATCGATTCATAGTCTCAAAACAATAAATAGTCTTAATTTTAATGTTAATATTTGAATATGCCTTAACTTTTCATTATACCGTATGATATAGGGAATTTCTGAAGGTAAACAAGAATAAAGATTTTCATAGTTGAGATCATGAGTCAATTAAAGCTAGACTACCATGAAAAACCTGGGAGCAATGGACGGCCATTTCGTCCTAGTATGGGACTCCTCAGAAGTGCGAATCCACGATCCCACCTCACGAGATTCGAACCCAGGACCTGTCAGTTCCACTCAATACATTATAATTATAGTTTATTTATTTTGCCAAAACATTTGGATGTTCAGCATTGAACATTAATTTAAATACAAATGTTTTATGCTCCTAACCGTTATCTCAATAAAATAGAATCATACTGCGAATTGATTATTCAAAGTGAATTTATTATATCTGTAGTGAACGGGAGCACCAGTAGGAACAGCCAAATGTGTTTAAACACAGTTACAGAACCTTTTAGTAAAATCTGAGGACTATACAGTAAATTTCGCATTTTTAAATGTCAGTCGATTGTCTCAGACTTTATTGTTTCGTTGTTTCCCCACCAATCACTATCTGTTCTCGTTATCTTTACCTCGATTTACTTAACCTTGTGCTACCAGACATTTCACTTCCGACTGATGCTACATACTACTTATATATGTCTACATCAGTAGCATACACCACATATCTACTTCATTTTCCATGTCCAGTAAGTGCCGTGCAATCGTACTACGATTATTATTTGTTCACTAGAGATAATCGTTAGTTGGAATCTATACAATAAAGCATATAGATGTATGTGTTTAAATTAACCTGTGTAAATTCTTACTTATAACTAGAGGTAAGACAAAAAGAGTAGTTTCCTGCTATTGAATATAGTGTGGAACTAGTCATACCACGGGAAACTTGCTTTTAAGTTTCCTCTTAAGTTGTTTTTCAATCAATCTTTCAGGCATTTTAAAGATGATTACATAATACTTGGATGAATAAACCCTTCGTTTCGAATTTATTCAATGTAGGCCCCCCAAATGCCCTGGTACGGCCGAGAGTGGGGAGAGTCAACTCTCCCTCTCCAAACGCTTTCATATGGCCATGTGCAAACAACCGCTACCAGGCAAGTCCTACTCACTGCCTTCTCGCGACATTCTGTTATTTACGAAATCGAGAGGACAAAAAGCGAATATCCGCCGATTTAACTGGGTTGGTGGGCACAGAGAGTCCACTTAGGGGAGCTGGAAAACCCTCATTCTAAAACATTGGTGCACATGGGTCCCAGTATCCTGACGGAACAAAATAAAACCAACTACTTCGGTTTGGGTACTTGGATAGTATCCCATCCCTCACACATATCAAATGAGATTTATGTGGCTTAATGTATTTGGTGCCTCCTTGTACCAATATGTATGTGTTCAAATAACTAAATAATATTCACTTTAGACATTTTTTCATTATTTCACCATTTTTTCTAAGATGCTGAAGAAGATTTATAGCTCAAGTAGATAATTTTGATGGAGCTTTGCTCTCTGAACTAACAAAACCATTCAGCTCAGAGAACAAAACTCCACCAAAAAACAGTTTTTTCTCAACATCTTTGTCGAGTATAACGGTTTATTTATTTATCCGAATGATTTCGCTTCATCATCATCATCCGTTTGTGAAATTGATTAGTGTAACATACCCTCATTTCAAAAGTAGTCAGTGTTTTGCGCACTAGAGTCGTTGACTACGGTGACACTTGAGGGGGAAGCCGAAAGAGGAAGTTTAGTGTTAAAAGTCGATGTAGGAGGAATAATAGGAATTGAAGAGGGAGGTTGATTATTAGTAGATTAAAATTTGAATGAACACATGTGTACATCATTAATGAATCTTAGCGTTACTGGTATTTATTACAGTTATTAAATAAATATTTTATGATCAGATAGAGGTTTTGTGGATAATATAGTAATTTAATAGTTGAATGAATCATTTGAAGCTAAACCACTATGAAGAATTTGGAAGCACTAAATGGCCGTTTTGTTCTAGTATGGGACTCCTCAGCAATGCACATTCACGATCCCGCCCCGCGAGATTCGAACCCAAGATTAATTTGCATGAAAATACTGTATCAGCATGAAGATATCACATAATAATAAATACGAATTCGGGATTACATAAACTTAACTGTAAGCCACAATTGTTGTTCTTGTGGTGGTTGTCAGATCAAATACCATATTAGTAGAAGTAGTAACAGTTCCAGAAGTAATAAGAAAGATTAGTCATCAAAGATAGGACTAGAAAAAGGTACGAATTGGCGAAATAAAAATAAAAGAAGAATTATCAATAATTTCGAGTCTCATGACTCGGAGAAACACAAAGAATAGATACACCTAAAACATTGTAGATATTTTAGATCTACATCATTCAAAGTTCCTAACCATTAGTTTTGGAAATTATGAGCACCGCAGCTGGGTATATTTCTAACCAATAGTCATTTCGACAAATGTTCCAGTGAACATTACTGGAATAGTAAATATTACTAATCACTGTGTTTTTGTTTACGATTATAGTATTATTAGAATACTAATAATAATAATGATAATCAGTATCCTTGGTTATGTACAAGTGTTTGTTCATTCATTAACCATTAAGTTTCAACGGGATCCATTTTGTCGACCATCATGAATATTTCATTTTTATGTTAGTGTGCAGTTCACATAGTTTACAAACTTATACATGCATTAAACCAAGTTTCTTTCGTAATTGTGTACTAATTCACTGATTACATCTCTGAATCAAAGTGAGTGAAGCGGGATCGAATTCACCAGATAATATCAGTTCCCCCAAAGATTAAAGGTATATCATGTTGACGAGTGCTAAATAACACGGAACTTAAGTCAATAGTAGAATCTTGTCGACCACATTCAATCATAGCCTTACATCTGAATATAGTGAATATGGCATCGAGCTAATCTTATTTGATATGTGTGTGAGATGAAATGAGATTTATGTGGCGCATATGTATTTGGTGACTCCTTGTACCAATATCTATATGTTCAAATACATGAAATAATAAATAAATATCTAGTTAATTAGAATAATGAACACATTTCAGCTTGATTAATATAATCTGATCAGCACTAAAAAGGACTTGACATACATGACTATCCAGTGATCAATCTATTGCTAAGTTAATAATAACGTTTGATTATTATATAATAATATACAAACAAAACAAAAACAAAATCTATTGACTTACTTTTACGTTGTCGTGGTACTTTAGTAGCTCCATTCCCTGTAGTACTTGATACATTTCCTGAAGAAGATGATGAAGAAGATCCATGTAATGAATTCAATGTATTTGGATAATTCATTGTACAATTAGTAATTGATGTTGTTTGAGAAACAATAGATGGATTAATAATAGGACATAATATTGATGAACCAACTGAATTTGAATAATAACCAGGTATTGTTTCTCTAAGTAATGTAATTCCATTCCAATATGATTGTGGATCATTGATTCTTCGACCTGATGATGATGACGACGACGATGATGAAGATGATGACGAAGAAGATGATGATGATGAAGAAGAAGAAGAAGCTGACGATGAAGAGGAAGATGATGGTATTGGTATTACATTTACTAATTCAGTAACTGAAGGATTATTATTATTATTTGTCTGACACTGATTATTATTATTATTATAATTTCCAATAAATGTTTGTTGCATATCAATGGTTTGTTGTCGTACAGATAATTGACATAAATTTGTAGTAGCAGTAGTCGTAGTAGTACCAGTCGTAGTAACTAATGCCCAATTATTTGATAAGTTTAAAGTAATCGGTACATTCATATCAATTCATTTTGATGATGATGATCATTACACTATTTGTAATTTGGAAAATATTTAACAATATTCAATTCATTCTAATTCATTTCAATAATGTATATTTGTATAAGTAACATATAAATGAAGGTTAAATAATGATACTATTAGTTTTGGACATGTTTTAAATAAATAGATTGAAATAAGCTAAGACTGATTATGGCTAGAATCAGGTCATGACCTAACTTCAAAGAATATATATATATAGCTAGATAGTTAGATAGTTAGATAGATAGTTAGATGGATAGATGGATAGATAGATGGATATACAACTAATTGTTGATTGGTTCACATTATAAAAACTCATTTAAATGTGCGGTTAATTTTTGTAATAAAAGAAGAAAAAAAAAGAGAAAAAAAATTATTTTTATCTACTCTTTATTTTCTTTTTATTTCAATGAAAACCAGTTTATTAGAAAACTTTATTCTGATTGGTTCATTTTTCTTTTTTTTTTGTTTTTGTTTTTGGTTGAAAGGGGTCAAATAGGGGTCAATATATTGTGATCAATCAATAGAACAAGTGTGTAATCTTCATACTGTTATAACGACAACAATAACAACAAAAAGAAAAATATTCTTGAATAAATCTACACAAAATTTTATATTGACTTGGTGTTGTTTCATTGGTATCTTCCCATTGTTATTTAGATCTGTAATTGATTAGTGTCTTGTTGGCATATGTGCATCTTGTAAGGATTGTCTTAAGTCACAAGCATTTTAAGCAAAGATCCAATTTGACAAGCGTTTCGGTCTATTTGGGACTCATCACCTGGATGTACCTGCATCAAAGAGTTGATGTTCACTTCGGAACTCGAACTCGAACAGAGAACAAAACTCCACCAAGAACTCAGTACCGTTTGCTTTAAACGTCATCGTGTTATCCACTTATCTACTGAGTTCTGATAGCCACCTGGTTGTGCAATGGAGTGAAGTTTAAATTCATTTGGTGTTGTTTTACTTGTATCTTTCCATTGTTATTTAGGTATGCATTTGATTAGTCTTTTGTTGATAGATGTGCATTCTGTATGGATTATTGCGATATTGCCTGTATTCTACTACTAGCCACTAACCATGTTTGCGTATAAAGCTTGTGAATTAAGGCAATATCGACGCAATTCTCACAGGATGCATATATGCCAATTGCAGTTCTAAATAACAATGGCAAGAAAACAATACCAAGTAGATTTAAACTTCACCCCATAGCACAAGCAGGTGACTATCAGACTCAGTAGATAAGTGGACAATACGATTTCATTTGAAGTGAACGACATTGGATTCGAGATCCAGAATGAACATCAACTTTGAGATGCATGAACATCCATCTGAAGAGTCCCAAATAGGCTGAAACATGCGTCAGACTAGATTCCACTGTTAGCCACTGTCCGAACTTTTATATTGTATAAAGAAAATTGAGATATTTTTCTTTCTGTAGATTCGTATTAAGAAAGGGATTGGAATATTCTCATTGATAACATTCACACCGTTGGACGACAGCTCAGTGATCTTGTGGTTAAGCATTCGCGCACAAGACTGATAGGTTCTGAGTTCGAATCTCACGTGGTGATATCGTGGATGTGCACTGCTGAGGATTTCCAAAATAGGACGAAATGGCTGTCCAATGCTTTCAGGTTTCCCATGGTGATCTAGTTACAATCGACTCGTGAATTCAATTACTCAGTAAAAAAATTGTTAAGTTGAGGTTAGGAGAGCTGTCTCGTCCTGTTGTGAAGCTTATCAGCAGTATGTTTGTACAATAGCTCCTTGAGATCGAACCCATTACCATCTTGTCATGTGGCGAGATTATTTTTCTTATGAAGTGGTATTTTATGGACAATCGCTGAAAATTCAGAAGTACTAAAAAGAAGTGTTTTACATTATTTGGAACCACTTGGCAATCTGCACCCGTGGTAATACACTAGATCGAAATTATATAATTAATATTTCACATTCACCATGCTATCACCAGGCAATTGAGTCAGAGTCCAACTTTTACATTGCCAACCTTATTTTAATTCGTGATAATATTACTTACACCTGTTACCCCTCACAGAGGAGCATAGACCGTTCACCAGCATTTTCCATCCAACTCTGCCCTGGGCGATCCTTTCCAGTTCTTATGCATCCTTTTCATGTCTGCTTAAAGTCCCGACGCAGTGTGTTATTTGGTCTTCCTTTTGTCAGTTTCCCTTCAGGATGCAGCATGGTGATTTCCGTAATTTATGTCCTATCCACTTCCATCGTCTTTTCCTAATTTCTTCTTCAGCTGCAAGTTGGTTTGTTCTCTCCCACAGTAGGTTGTTGGTGATCGTATCAGGTCAACGAACATTGACTATCTCGTGTAGACAATTTTTTATAAACATGGTTGAAGTAATTCTTGAAGTTTCAGCTCCATACATTAGAACTTTTTTGGCGTTCATATTGAAGGTTGTATCTTTGGTGTTGGTTGACAGTTGTTTTGAATTCCATATATTCTTGAACTTTAGGAATGCTGTTGTTACTTTAACAATCCTTGTCTTTACATCCGTATCAGATCCTTCTTATTCACTGATGATAATTCCCAGATACGTGAAAGCTTCTACCTCTTCCAGAGTTTCTTCATCAAATGTGATTGGTTTGATGCTTTCTGTGCTGTATTTGAAGATCTTGCTTTATCCTTTGTGATAATATAACATGATAATAATTCAGTGTCATCGGTTAATTACTATCCAATGCTACCTGACATTCGATTATTCTTCATCTTCAAATAATCTTCAAATCGAAGATACAGAAGTAAACTTGAAAAATATAACAGATCATAAACATCATCATTAATACAAATGATTGTTGAAACATTTTCATTGTGAATGGATTAATTTGTTTAGCACCTGTTGTCTTTTTCACGATGAAAATTTGGTACTCAACCAGTAACCTATTGGTGAAGTGCAAGTTGATTGTACTATTGTGATGATTAGGAGTATTTGAATTACTGTACAAATTAGGAATCCGAGAAATAATTCAAGTTAACCAAGAAGAATTATATAAGCACGAACAAACGTATTGTATATGAAATTCGAAACCAGGCAGTCATCAAGTACAAAGGAATCATTAGTTAATACAAACACCACGACTAAATTAATAACCTTACTTATTTACTTACTCCTGTTACTCCCAAAGGAGCATAGGCCACTGACTAGTATTCTCCAACCTACTCTGTCCTCGACCTTCCTTTCTAGTTCTATCCAATTGTTCTTCATTCTTCTCATGTCTGCCTCCATTTCTCGGTGTAATATGTTCTTTAATCTTTCTCTTCTCCTGTGGCCTTGACGATTCCAAGTCAGAGCTTGCCTTGTGACACAGTTCCTCAATGTGTGTCCTATCCAATTCCAGCACTTCTTTCTCATTTATTCCTCCACTGGAATCTGGTTTGTTCTCTCACACAGTAGCTTGTTGTTGATAGTGTCTGGCTAACGGATCCGAAGTATTTTCCGTAGACAACTGTTAATAAACACCTGTATCTTCTGGATGATGGCTTTCATTCTTCTCCAAGTTTTCACACCATACAGTAGAACTGTGTTGACATTTGTAATGAAAATTCTGGCCTTGGTGTTGATTGACAAACAGTTGTTTTGAATTCCAGATGTTCTTCAGTTGTAGATATGCTACTCATGCTTTGCAGATCCGCGCCTTCACATTTTCATCAGATCCACCCTGTTTATCAATGATGCTTCCCAGATATGTAAAGGTTTTTACATCTTCCAAATCTTCTCCGTTAAATGTGATTCGATTGTTGCATATTGTGTTGTATCGGAGAATCTTACTTTTCTCTTTGTGTATGTTGAAACCTACTGCTACTAAGGTTGCAAATTAATAACCTTACCCACAATAAACTATTACCGAACATTACTCAGAATTTTTACAATCTGATTCTTTTAAGAATTGTATAAGTCAAGAAATTGATTTCAAGTATATTCCAATTCTAATGATGCTTAGAATGGAATAGAAATAGTCACATCAATGTTATTATACTACTTGTTAATTTAAGTATTAATTCACAAATCAACTCATTCTTTAAATATTTTCATGAATAATAGATTTACAACTATCTAGATACTCATGCAAAGAATGTACTATACTTCCAACTGATTTAATATATTTGAATTCATGAGTCGATCTAAGCTGGATCACCATTGAAATACCTAGTAGCATTGGACGACCGTTTCGTCATACTATGAGACTCCTCAGCAGTTCGCATACACGATCCTGCATCGCGAGGTTCAAACCCAGGACCTATCGATCTCACGAACGAACGCTTAACCCCTAAACCATTGAGCCATAATCATCATGTGTTCACTAGTAATTGGATTCAAATGGTATTTCTTGCAGTTCTGGTGAGAAGCAGTGATCAGTGCAGTTCAATCAGGTCTGTTGTAAAATAGTAACTCACTGAAGATAATGGTGGATGTGTCACTCAATTTCGTGGATTAATTGAAGTTAGACATTAACATCATTGGATGCCAGATCAGTGGTTTAGTGGTTAAACATTCTCATGATATCGATATGTCCTGAATTCGAATCTCTTGAGGCAGGGTCATAGATGCGCACTGCCACAGAGGAGTCCCCTACTAGGACAAAACGGCTGTCCAATGCTTCCCTCTTTGTTTCTAATATCAATAATTTCCAAAATTACATCCATCTTCATAATATTCTTCTTCAATAGTCAATTCAGTCATTTTCGCGTTTTTCTTTTAAACTTTAACACAACATGATTGACCTTCATTAAATAACAACAAACCATTTGGTTATTTGTCAATTTTCTTTTTTCTTTTTAAAGTTAAAAGTTCATTTGTTTCATTCAAATTAACCAACATATAACTGATGTAATTGTTCTGATTTTAATGTCTTTGTCAATGGTTAGTTTGTTATTGTTTCCTCATAGATAGGAACAAAGAGAAATTCAAATGATGATGATTATCATCATCTGACCGACC